ATAAGTGAATATATCGTCATAGAATGTTCTACCTACTGCTTATAATAAGAGTAAATGTAGAAAAATGTTCTTCTTAAATATGTATAACTTAAAAATAAAACAAATTTATATATATTAAAGTCATGTTTTTGTGCATTGGGAAAGGAAATGTTAATTGACTAACAAGCCTCTTAATCTGTAGTGACTTAAATATCTCATATAGATGACTCTAGAAGAAGTTTCAGGAAACAAGGAAGAAAGGTTTCTTTGAATCCTAAGTTTTACCTTTGGCATTTATTCTGGAAATGATCCAAATTATTCTCAAAATGACAAACGTGAGTTTTAGTAAGCCAAGCTGTTAATGATATGATGCAGTTGCTGAAATTGACAATGCTGAAAATTGAAGATTAGGTATTTTCCAAGTTTTATTACTATTTTATGTTAGGCCAAGGCTGTTTATATATGGAGACCAAAATGTTTAAACTCTAGGACTCTTGAATTAAGTCAGGAAATTCTCCTGCGGTGAAGACCTTTGTTGCCAATCTGTGATGCTATCAGGAGCTAGTGGGATTAGCAAACGGTATAATCCTCTGGAAGGAAGTTAGGTGACTGGTGTGGCCTTGAAGGGACATTGAGACCCTGGCCAGAATCCTCTTTGTAACCCTGGCCATGAGGAGAGCCAGGCCTCTGCCACATATTGTACCAAGTGTGGCCTAACTAGAGGCCCAAAGCAACAGGACACCCTGGGCTGCGGCCTCTGAAAGTCAGCCAGCCGTCAAATGAGCCGTCATAAATCCTTCCTTTATGAGAGTTACTTCTTGTTGTCATGGGAAGTTCGTCATGAAGCTGATGTCTTCTACTTTGACTAATTGAGATGAGAACTGATTTGAAGCTGTATTATAGTCTTAAAAGTTTAGTTACTAATACTTCATGACTTAACCTTAGTGTCCCTGGATTTAAGACTCCAGCAAACTATGTAAGAGGAGCAAGTTTTATTCTTTTTTTTATTTTTTGGGTCCGGTCGTGGGCCTGAACTCTGGGCCTGGGCACTGTCCCTCAGCTCTTCAGCTCAAGTCTAGTGCTCTACCACTTGAGCACAGCGTTACTTCCGGCTTTTGTTTTTTTTGCTGCTTATATGGTGCTGAGGAATCGAACCCAGGGCCTCATGCATGCAAGGCAAGCACTCTACCACTGAGCCACCTTCCCAGCCCTTATTCTTTAAAAGAATTTAATAATGTGGCTATACATCATCTGTTCCTTGAATCAGCTAATGAAGTTTCCTTAATTTGGTATCATATAACTTGTGTATTTAGTCTTTGTGATGACATCAAGGTAGAATCTACAGGAGCAAGTGTGGTGAAGCTTCAGGGAATTCCTGCTGCCTAGTTGATGAATGTAGAAATCCATTTTTTTTTTTTTGCTAATCATGATACTGTACATAATTTCAGATAATGTTAGCTCCTATGAATTATAAAGCAGTAAAGAGGTTGTTTGGCTGGAGGAAAGGCTTTTCAGAAGGTAATATCTGAGCCAGGTAAGAGTACAGGGAAGGTGGTCATGGGTCAAGGCTGAGGAAGCGAGAGCCAAGTCCTCTTGTGGGTGCTGAGGGTAGGTATGAGATGAGGCTCGGGTAGGAGAAGCAAAATCATTGCAGCCCTAAAACCAGTAAGCAGGTCGGGTAAGTATTCCAGGAGTCCCTTTGGCTTCAGTGCTCGGAGCTGAGGGTGGGGCAAGCATGGGAAGAGTGGACATGTATTTGGACCAATTTGTAGTGGTTGGTCCACACAAGAGCAGCCGTGATGATTGGGACACAGAGATAGTCCGTTCTGAGGGTGAGCGGCAGTGGACTTCTGATGAGAATGCTGTGAGGAGTCAGACAACTTTGCCACCTGGCCTAAAGAGCTGGATGAATGGTGCCATGCATGGTGGAAGAAGAGCAGGGTGAAGAAGAGTGTGGGGAAGATGAAAAGGTCACCGATTTAAACTGGTGACATTTGAAATAATGGTTTGGATGCTAGTAGTTCTTTGGTTAATTTGCTATTTAATGGGTAACTTTTCATTGGAAAACAAGAAAAGTCAAGTCTGCAGATCTGTGTTTACCTGCAAATATTGTGGGGAAACTCCAAATTGTGTAATCAAACTGATCAGAACACTTAATAGTTGAAGAGATGCTAAGGCAGCCCTGTCATTTAAGAGCTCTAATTGGGCATCAGTGCCTTGCTAGATGCCGACCCATCCTTTCCTTAGAATCTTTCAAGGTGTCTGTTGAAGCCTGGAATTACTTGATATAGTTCCCAAGCATTGGGGAGAAATAAGCATCTGACTGTTTTAAGAAATGAGTTTATATTTATTCAGAGACTGATTCTAAATGAACTATAGAAAAAAAATCAAGTGTCAGTGCAATTTCTTGCCCTTTTAAAAACAAGCAGAGGAAATATGGAAACTTGGGACTTCAAAATGCAAGGGGAAAAAATGAAGTCTACAAAGTGAAATGCTTGTGGTATTTTCCATTTAGAACTGCAATGGGGAGTTAAACAGCTACCCTAATGGCAGCTGAGTGTGAACCAGACCTAGAGCCTAGGCCTGGGCCTAGTTGAATGATGTACCTTAGTGGGTACTTTGTGAAGAAAGCACTTTGGCCGAGATAGGAGGGGCTCAGTGGGACCCCGGTTGGTGGGGTGTGGTGGTTAAGTGGAACTCTGGTAGAGGGATGAATGAGTTCAACACATCTCAGTTCCTGGACCCTTTGACCATTAGTCCATGCAGTGCTTATTTCCTGTTTTCTGTATTCTTCATTCCCAGTAACAGTGTTTTCCAGAAATGACTACCACAGTAAGTCCCTCCTATGTTCTTTTAGAACTTTATAGAAGCTCTTCTTGATCTAGATTTATAACTTACCATCAAGCGGATCCAGTAGGAGCAGTACCAAGCTGAGTTTTTCTCTTAATTCCTGACATGGAAGCCGTAAGAAATGGTAAGATGATTGTGTTAGGTTTAGGGTTTGAGTTGTTATGCAGCAGTAGTAACTAAACCAGTCCTTCTGTCATCCACTCCTCTAGAAACCATTGTCATGGCACATTTTCTATGTGACTTGGGAGTTCTTTTTGTAAGAATATATTTTCATCGATAGCATACTTCGCAATCCATTTTGGTTCCCCCACCACCAACAGCAGCATTTTAGAACCCTGGTCTAGGTTGACTGTGTATGTCAGTCTGTTGTTCTCAGCTAATCCAGACTATATTTGACTTGGATGAACCACTAGATTGTCTCCAAAGCCCACGCACACCACACACAGAACCGTCACAAATGACTTTGGTTATGTTTCTGTATGGCCCTCCGAGAGCCGTTCCCGGGGACAGGCAAGGGATTGCTGGACCAGAGCAGGTATGCAGTCGGCTGCTGTCCAGATCCAGCCTACCCCGGTTCCAGCAGCAAGGACTAGAGCAAGTGACGAGATTCCTACTTGCTGGCCCGGTTTCTGCAGTTTAGTTAGAGCTAGTGAAGTTACTGGGGATAGCCATTGTTTTCTTCCCTGGCTCCTTTCCTCCATCCCTCCCTCTCTGCCATCCTCCCTCCGCTTCTGGAAGATTTTGAGATGCCTTCTCACCACTCCACTGCCAAATGCCACCATATCTCAGTATTCTCCTTTCTTCGTCCTGTGCTTTCCCCCCTATTTGGAATATCACACACGCACACATGTAGCTTTCTCTGAACACACATTAGTGTGGTGTTACATGCTAGTAGGTGATCAGTGAAGATGTGAATGATTACCCACAGTCTGTCTTAGCCAGGTGACCCCATGGACCCTCTTCCCCACCCCCCAGCTCACCCACCTCCCTCCTCACTAAGTAGTAGAAAGGCATTTAACCTCTTGGATCTCTCCTTGCTACATTTTGGGTTCACCATGCACAGGGGACAAAGGACACTTAAGATATTTATTATCACATGGAACTGTCTCCTCTAAGGGCAGAATTTAGGTTCTCTGAGTCTTTTAGATAACCTTCCTATCTGAAGCCTCAGTGTCCTAAGTGTTTATAGGTTTGCTTATTTAGTTTCTTGCTGGATAGAGGAATGAAATCATGCCCTGGTTGCTAGTGTCATTGAATGATCCAAAGAGAAAGAAACAAAAATCTACTTGATTAAAAAAAAAAAAAAAATGCAGCTGGGAGCAGACGGCCCACCCTGTAACCCTAGCTTCTCAGGAGGCGGAGACCTGAGGACTGACTTGAAGCCAGCCCAGGCAAGGGAGTCCGTGAGATTCTCATCTCCAGAAACCTGGAAGTGGTGCTGTGGCTGAAAGTGGTAGAGTGCTACCCTTGGGTGAAAAAGCTCAGGGACAGCACCAAAGCCCTGACTGCCAAAAAACCCCCACCAAAAAACACTTGAAAAATAGAGTACTGCATAGTCTTGAGCCAAATAGCCACTAACTCTACTTAACAAATTAATTGAAATGAAATTTAGTAATTCAGTTATTCAGTCGTACTAGCCATTCTTAAAGGGCTCGGTAGCCACATGTCGCTAGCCACATGCCGATGTTTCCATTATCAATGGAAGTAACTCGATGTTGGGGATCTGGTAGGTACAGGTAGGTGATCAGTACAAAATTGTTAGGAATAACTCCCTAGAGTCTAACCCAGCAACATTCCACACACACACACACACACACACACACACACACACACACACACACCACAATTGGCACACACACACACACACACACACACACACACACACCACAATTGGGAGGAAAGAGTATTTTGAGGGCACTGTGTGAACTCCAGCCACATTCTGAAAATGCTAACTTGCTTTAGAATTCTTAATGGACTCTCATCTGCCTGCTTCCCCTCACTGAGGCCAGGAGAGTTTTGTTCTATCATTAAAAATAAAATCCAGCACACCTTGTATGCAGGAGGCAGAAGTCTTTCCTCAGCCTATCTTGGAGGCTACATCTCAGCCCACTCAATGTGCCTTCCCCCCTCCCCCGAGTTTTGTAGAACATAATATATTGTTAGCACCAAAGTCACACTGAGATATAGTTTATTGTCATATAATGAGCATTTTTTCATAATGAACAAGTCTCTTTTAAATGTTACATGCCATGTGGAGTGTCCCTCTTTGGGGAAATGGCCTGGATGAAGAAGTTGCTTTATTTCCCTTTTGTCATTTAGTTCTTCAAACTCCAAAGATATGTATTGAAAATATTTAGTAAGTTGTTGCTGGCTGACTTTTGCTTATGAGCATCTGTTTCGTTTAATTGTAAAGGGGAAGGTAAATAAAATGTTAGAAATTGTGTAATCAATTACCACCTTTTTTGGAAGTCTTTGAAAATAAGTGGGAATCAATACATTTCTATCTTTTTTTTTTACTTTCAATAAATAATATCTTTGTATATCTTTACTTTCAATAAATATTCTTTGTGTATATGTATATATAGATAGATAGATATACTTAATGAGTCATTTAGCAGGATTTTTAAATTTTATACTGCATTCATCCAAAACAGCTCTTTCCAGATTGATAGGATGCAGATGAGGTGAGAATTAAGGCAAACCCAAAAGGCATGCAAATATAGTACATTTATATTCACTGATAATACAAGCTGTTGTGTGTGGACCAGACACAGGAGTGAAGTGCCCCTCTGTGTGTCTGTCTAGTACTATTTTACAGGAGAATGGTGACACAGCTCATAATTAAGGTACATTACCGTGGGGGTCTCAGTGCTACTAAAATTATGTAATCAAGGAGACACAAGCATTAGCAAAACATGTACCAGAAATCATAGAATTCTTTGCAGCACATTTCTGCCCAGGCTTTGGAAGAGGAGTATTTGTATGAAATGATCTTACACATATCACATTGTGGCAGGTTGTTCTGTTTGTTTTTATAGTATATGCTTTTAAAATTCATCAGCAAATGACATTCTCATGCACACAAGTGTTTCAAACACAAGAAGCAAGTCCATTTATAGGTAGTCCAAGCGACTGTGTGTGTGTGTGTGTGTGTGTGTGTGTGTGTGTGTGTGTGTGTGTGTGTGTGTAGCTGCAGACTGAATGGGACGTTGACACCTCCGTGCAGTCCATGGTATAGACACCAGCTCATTTCTGAATGTCACACTGCAGAAGTAATACAATGGACGGGTCGCTCTTTGCAGCTTCTTTGAATTCATCCAGAGTAATCTGGTCATCTTTGTTCTTATCCATCTTGCTGAAAATCTTGTCTACTCGCTGCTCAGGTGTGAGACCATCCTCATTCATTTTCATCATGATCACAGTGCCCACCATTTTGTAGATAGCCTTTAAGGGGGGGGGGGGGGGAAGTGTAAAGTCAATTAGCAGAAGCCCGGGAGAGCAAAGAGCTCTCCCTACCTCTCTTTCATCTAACTGGATCCTACTTCACTCTTCAAGATTTAGCTTCTCCTTCCCCAGAGGAGGTTCTGTTCCCATGCTTCAAGTTGCCATGGCAACCCATACCATCTTCTCCAAGGGAAGATATTGCACACACTATTACAGTAATTCCTTTGTCTTCCTCACCAGACAGTACATGTTATGAAGCTGGGAATCATCTTTTTCTCACTTCTGTAAACTCCAGGGCTTGGCCCTATGTCTGTCACATCATAGGTCTTCAATAAGTATTTATTATTAATTAAAAACGAAGTCTAGTTCCTTGGCTGGCAGTTGGGATATGGAGTAAAGAGGCAGTAGGAGGAAGGAGCAAATGAGGTGTTGGCTAGAGATGGAGTTAGAAGCAAGTCAGAACACAACGTCCTCTTACAGATAATGATTTTTAACTTAGTAACTTTCCTAAGTGGCTTTCAATAGGGAATGTGTGATGTAATCAAGTAAGTCTTGAGATGAATTAGAAATAGAAGAATTTTGGATGATTACTGGTTTTCTGTCTGGAGGAAGTGGATAGAAAAGGGCATTCAGTGGTGAGATGAATCATAGATTAGAAACAGGCTCAGGAAAGCAAATGTTAAGATGTTTTTAATTTCAAATATTCTGAATTGAAATGCAAATAAGTCAATAAACACTAATGGTGGGAGTCTTAGGTAACATTAGATCCCTATGACAAGGACCACATAATGTGTTCAGAAAGCCAAGGCAGGTATACCCATTAAAGTTTAGCTCTGAAATATTCGTTTAGATCTGTTGATTAAATGTAAGATAAGTCAAAGAACACTGAGATAACTGCCTTCTCCAGGTCAAATGGTGGTCCATAATGAGTTCTCAGTAGGGGTGTGGCCTAGGCTGCAGTGGTTTTCTTTCTAGAATAGTGCCCTAATGCTGGGTGCTGTTGGCTCAGGAGGCTGAGATCTGAGGGTCGTGACTTGAAGCCAGCTCAGGAAGAGAAGTTCCAATTAACTAACAAGGAACTGAAGTGAAACTGTGACTCAAGTGGTAGAGCACTAGCTTTAAGCATGAAAGCTCAAGGACAGCACCTAGGCCGTAAGTTTAAGCCCAGGACTAGCAAAATAAATAGGAAAAGTCCCTTAAAATGATAAATGCCCATCTTAAATGAATAAAACAATTATACAATGGAATGCTGCTTTATCATTTGTGAAGAATGGATTACAATAAATGCCACAGCACCAATAAACTGTAGGAAAGAGATGGAGAAGCAGGGCTAACAGTCAGACACAGGGCCAGTCCCTGGATGAGTACATTGGTGTGAAAGGTAGAAGAAAATCCGGCCAACATAGGGTAGTGGTTGTCTGAATTGAGATTGGAAGCAAGCATGTACACATTAAGGACCTTATCAAAAATTTTTAAATGCCTTAAAATTGCAATATGGTGATAGCTGAATTCTTCTGTAAGTTTAGTTGAAAAAAATTATTGAATCCTACTTAGGAGGGGTGACTTTATTGTCTGTAAGCCATAGATTGCTTGTAAAGATTGCTTTAAAAACTGCCAATTGAAAACAAATCACTAGTAAGTGCCTTATTTAACAAGTTAGTATGGACATTATGAGTTGTGTGTGCCTATCAATTGTAAGATCCTGAGTTCAAACCTCAGAACCACAGAGAGACAGGGGGGGGGGGGGAGGAAAGGAAGGTAGGAGGGAAGGAAGGAAGGGAGGGAGGGAGGGAAGGAAGGGAGGAAGGGAGGGAGGAAGGAAGGAAGGAAAAGAGGGAGGGAAAATAAAGATATGCAAAAATGTTCACCAAGATTAAATAGTTTGTGTTTAGTTTGTATTGATATATGGTGGAAAAAAGGAATTTAGAAGAGGCAGACTACTGAAGTTTCTTTTGTAGACAATTGGTAGACAGAGTCCTGATTAGCCTAGTAGAATTAGTGTACACAAGGTAAAATATACACTGTGCTTTATGTCCACAATTTTAAGAGATACATGGGCCATCTATATTTGAGTTGTCATGCGCTCTCTGCCCTTTGAAAGTTATAATCAAAAGGATTTACGTGATGGTCGGTACAGTCAGAAGATTGTACTATTGGGCGGGGAATGTGGGTCAGTGCCTTCCGTGCATGAAGCCCCGGGTTCGATTCCTTTGTACCACATACACTGAAAAAGCCAGAAGTGGAGCTGTGGCTCAAGTGGTCGAGCGCTAGCCTTGAGCAAAAAGAAACTCAAGGACAGTGCCGAGGCCCAGAATTCAAGCCCCAGGACTGGCAAAGAGAAAAGTGCACTATTAATAAAATATAAACAAGAAATCTGTCCTGGGTAAGTTTGAAATGGCAAGGTCAGGGTCTCATCAACTGTAGCCCTGTGATCTGAGCCACTAATGTGAGAATGAGAAAAAGACACCCCCAGTGCAGACTTGTACCCCAACATTGACACAGAGACAGGGATGGCATTGAAGACTCAGATCCAAATCACAGGCCCCATGCAAATGGACCTAATCCCTGAAGGACATGAGCAGATGTTTAGTGTGAACTTTGTGGAAAGCATATTATTGCATGTGCTTTCTTTTTTTCCAGTCATGGGGCTTCAACTCAGGGTCTGGGCACTGTCCCCGAGCTGTTTTGCTCAAGGCTAGCACTCTACCACTTTGAGCCACAGCTCCACTTCTGGTATTCTGCTGGTTCTCACAGACTTTCCTGCCTGGGCTGGCTTTGAACTGTGATCCTCAGCACTCAGCCTCCTGAGTAGCTAGGCTTACAGGCGTGAGCCACCAGCGCCTGTTTGCACGTGCTTTTCTAAGGAGGAATAATGAAGTCTCAAGCATTTCTCAATCTTATGGACCCATTTTTCCTGTGCTGAGCACCCCAACTCAGACATACTGTCCTTCTGGGTTTCCACAGCTCTTCCTCTTCTTCCCTCTCCATTGATCAATACCTGCCTCAGTGATCCTGGCCTCTTTTATTGGTTGGGCACTGGCCCCCTGGGTCTGTGGCCTTGATATCAGACACCTTTGTCTTTTCATATCTGACTCTCTGACATTTGGCCTTGGAGAGTGTTAACCACATCCTCAAGAAGCCTATGAAAGAGAAGTCTGGAGTAAAGTGGGCTAAGAAGGCCTCATGAATGAGACAAGTTCACCTAGACCCCGAGGGGTGAGAGGATTCGGAGGGGCAGAGCCAGGAATTGCTGCTTTGTCATGAGCCAAAGTGCACAGCTGGGTGTGCAATGAGAAGGAGGCAGAGGTGGTAGACGTGATGGCTCTGAGGAGGGCAAGCACACAGAGCTCCGGGAAGCCGCGTGCCTGTGCCCGTAGGCGCCTGGCATCTGCTCAGAAAGGGCTTTGGGTAGAATGGAAGAGAAGCTGCTGCGGGACAGGATGTTGTCATGTGATTATTACACAGGCGGACAGGGGCAGTGTGTGGATGGCGGGCCAGGCTTCTGAGGCAGGCAGACTAGGGTTGGGGGTGCTGGAGATGCCCCTGAGCAAGGGGGTGAGCTTGATGGAGCTGGGGTGGGGATCCCACGTGTGGATACCCTGTGTCCATGACCAGTAGTGCCTTTGTCTCCAGAGCCATGCTGGGCTCTGGGGTGGGCTGTGCCCTAAGACATTCCATCTAAGCAAAGTCCCTGGTGCATGGTCTACTGTGGAGTGTCTGCCAAGTTCCAGGCTGGCTTCCAGGTTGCGGGGACGGGGCAGTGAGCAAGCAGAGTCCTCTTCTCACGAAGTCACTGCTGGGTGAGGCACGCTCTTGTGCATGCCCACGGCAGTGACAGCCCCTTCTTTGCTTCGGGATCAGCTGGCACTGGGAGGGGGTGGAGCCATCTGGGAAGGCCAGCTTGGTGACAGGTGGCAGGGAGCGGTGAAGGGGGGGGACATTCTGGGCAGAGGGGGAGAAGGGGACCAAGCCAGGGAAGCTGCCCTATCCGGAGGGCAGTGGGCAGGGAGGGAGGGGGAAGATGGGGTCGGAGCAGAAGGCAGAGGAATTCTGAGTGGGTGCCAACATGACTAAAAATGCCCCCTGGATGTGGTAAGATAGGGGAGCCCAGAAGGACAGCCCAGAAGAAGCAGGTGGCAGGTTCAGCAGTGCAGAACTACACAAAGCAGGAGAATGGGGCCGGGGGTGGGTGGGGTGGGGGGATCGTCTTAGGCACCCAGTCCAGTGAGCCTCGTGTGTGGCAGGCCTCCTGGTGAATCACCCCGGGTTAGGTGCGACTCCGTGGACGGGAAGGGCTCAAAGTTCGGCTCTGTGACTCCTCCCGGGCTGTACTTGCGGTGGGGAGCAGGGCAAGGTCAAAACAGGGTGCATAATAGCAAGAGAGGGTCGTGGACACGTGCCCTGCCCGGCTGCATGGGGGCCTCTGCCTGCCCTCTGCCGCCCCCCGCCCCCGGCCAGGTGGGCGGCCTCACCTCTATGATCTCCAGCCTCTCCCCGGCTGGGTGGGGGCCTCTGACCCCCGACCCCCGACCCCCCCCCCGGCCCGGTGGGCGGCCTCACCTCTATGATCTCCAGCCTCTCCCCGGCTGGGTGGGGGCCTCTGACCCCCGACCCCCGACCCCCCCCCCCCGGCCCGGTGGGCGGCCTCACCTCTATGATCTCCAGCCTCTCCCCGGCTGGGTGGGGGCCTCTGACCCCCGACCCCCGACCCCCGACCCCCCCCCCGGCCCGGTGGGCGGCCTCACCTCTATGATCTCCAGCATCTCCACCCGGGTGATCTTGCCGTCGCCGTCCAGGTCGTACATGTTGAAGGCCCAGTTGAGCTTCTGCTCGAAGCTGCCCCTGGAGGTAATGGACAGGGCGCAGATGAACTCTCGGAAGTCGATGGTGCCGTCCCCATTCTTGTCGAAGGTTCGGAAGGCGTGCTGGGCAAACTTGGAGGCGTCCCCGTAAGGGAAGAACTGCGAAGCAAGAGCGCGCAAGTCAGGAGCCAGAAGTCAGGGTCCGGAAGGCAGGACGCGCAGGCGCAGGAGGACCCCGGCCTGGAGAGCTAGTGCACCAGAGCTATTCCCGTTGTGGCCACGGGGTGGGGCTGCTGAGGCCGGGTTGGCCTGCCCAGTGGGCTGTGTGTGTGTGTGTGTGTGTGTGTGTGTGTGTGTGTGTGTGTGTGTGTGTGTGTGTGTGTGTGTGTGTGTGTGTGTGTGTGTGTGTGTGTGTGTGTGTGTGTGTGTGTGTGTGTGTGTGTGTGTGTGTGTGTGTGTGTGTGTGTGTCCTGCCCCCATTCTCTGATTTCTTTATACAGGGCCTTTGCTTTTCCTTTTCTTGTCAAGAACTGTTATTTAAAATAGACTCTGTTAAAACAGGGTTTCTTTTTGAGAGACATAAAGAGGTTTCTTCTGAGCGCCAGCAGTGACCGAGGGCGCTGGGCACAGGCAACGCACAGGGAGATAAGGCCTCAGAGAGGCGGTCCTTCCCATTCCCAGCCCCACTTGACGCTTGCTGCAAATGACAACGACCTACAGACACATCCCAAAGCCACAAGCAAATTGTGTGTTGTATGCCCTATACTCAGCCTAGAAATAAAATGTGCCTTTCCACATAAGGATTCAGGAGAAACGAGACAGGAGTTCCAGAGACAGGAGAGGCTGTCTCTGGCTTCAGTCACAGACACAAGTCTGTTCTGGCTCCTGCTCCTGTGCAGCAAATCACCCAGTGCTTAGTGATTTCCAACATTAGCAATCGAGCTGCGTGCTGGTGGCTCACACCTGTGATCCTACCTACTCTGGAGGCTGAGATCTGAGCATTGGGGTTCGAAGCCAGCCCAGGCAAGAAAGTCTGTGAGACTGTTAGCTCCAATTAATCACAGAAAAAGCCAGAAGTGGGGCTGTGGCTCAAGTGGCAGAGTGCTAGCCTTGAGCAAAAGCTGCTTGGTGACAGTATTCAGGCCTAGAGTTTAAGCCCTAGGACTGGAAAAAAAAAAAAAGAAAAAATAGCAATCATTTATCTCATTATCACAGGGAACAAACCCTAAAAGAACCATCTTTTTATTCCTCACACAACTTGTATCCATGTGGCTGAGAAGGACATCTTTGCCCTTTGTTTTCTGCTTTCCTGAACACATTCCATTCTTGCTTACCCCCCCCCCCCTCCATTTTTATTACACCTCAGACTTTCCTTCCACACCAGGCCCTGTCAGAGAGCTGTGTGCTCTGGGCCTCACAGGACCCACAGGTAGAAGGGGAACCCAACTTGACATTTACCGTAGCCCTATTATCTAACAGGAGCTGGCGCAGGAGTGTGGGGAATTGGGGAATTGGGGGTGGGCAAAGCATTCCTAAAACTCAGAAAATGAGCAGAGGGTAGTGGGGGGAGGGCATCTAGACAAAGACGTTCTTCCTCTTTGACTTGCTCAGCACCATTCCCACTCATCCCCCCAATATTATCCAGGGGCCTGGCACCTGAGGACTGGATGCCAGGTGCTGTGTTCAGAAGTTGGTGTTTGGGAACTTGGAAATCAGGAAGCAATCTAGGTCTTCCTGTGCCTTGTACATGGGTGGCTGGGCTTTGTTTCTTTCTACGCAGCAGGTGCTATTTGCCGAGGTGTTCAGCTGTCTTGTGATAAAATGGTCTGGGGAGAACGGGCCTCAGAGCAGAGGCAAACCTGGGCACACTCTTACGTTCCTGGAGGGCAATTTGCCCACCAGTGTTTCCACCAGCGCTGATAGGAGACCACTGGGCATTTTTCTTCATTCCTGCAGGTTTCTGGCAATGCACCACCTCCACTTTCCTGCCCCTCCCAGCATCCTCTTCAGTTAAGAGATATCTGACAGCTTTAGCTAAAAATAGCTGGGCACCTTAGGTCAGTATATTAAAAATTAACTTGGACCTGAAAACCCTGAGAGGGAAATCGATCACGAAATTTGAGCTATAAAAGTTACATGTGCCTCGCAGAAGGTCTTCTCCCTGATTTGCACCAGCCCCGTGGTTGTTTGGGAAAGACTAAGCGAGAGCTTGAGAGGCCTCAGGGAGTCGGGGGGTGGGGGGGAGGGTCATTTCTATTCCTGGCAGGCTCTGAGTGCTTTGAGCTTTTCTAATGGTGGAATCCTGAGTGGGTCATCATGGGAAAACGCGCCCACGCTGCCCCATCTCCAAGAGGAAGTCGGGCTCTTCAATGTGCACTCCATCCTCTCAACAGGATCCAAAAAGCACCAGAAGTTTCCATACAGTATTGCTCAAAATTTGTTTTGTTTTGTTTTTTAATATCTTGTTTCATCTTCTTATTAGATGTTGGCATGAAAGTATTTGGGGGGGGAAAGGATAACTATGGATATTTTCATTATATTATAGATATAGGACATGCTGAATTACAGACTATACTATTTATAATGTAGCTAGAAATAATGGTGATGTTGAAAAATGGCATCTAGATAAAATATCAGAGGATCTCCTTTAATCCTGATAATGAGCCCTGACATTACAAATTTCTTCTTGTCAATGAGAAATGGAAGCTGGGAAGATCAACATGTTTAATTCCAATTTCCAAACTGTCTGAGGTAGGGGTTGGATTTGATGCAGATCTGTTCAACCAATCCTGTCACCCCTTGAGATTTCTCTTAATCAGGTGTTAGCTGAGATGAATTTAAATCCACATTTGCTGAAGCATTTTGTAATTCTTACCGTCTAACATTTCTAAGGCTGTATTTTTTTCTCCATTGTATACATGGCCACCTTCTGGTAGCCTTTGGGTACTGCAGTGACATTCCTTAAATGCCCCTGAGATCCTTTTTAATGACTCTAACTCAATAAACTGAGTAGCTATTATGTGTCAACACAGTGTTAGGCGTTGGTTCTGAAAATCAAAAAAAAAGAACATTATGGGTATCATAGGAAATAGATATCAAACTGCTGAGAGGTGAGGGTAGTTCTTATGAAAGATTAAAGTTTGAGGCAGTGACCACCACATGTTGCTTGTTTCTGTCTAGCAAAGCAACACGTGGTGATAATCAAAACACCTGGTTGATTGTGTGCCTATGTAAGACCTGCAAATCCTTAGCTCAGGGCTCTCCTCCTGGGCTCCACTGTGTCAGAGTGTAGGACGAAGCCCGAGCTGCAGCCCGTTTAAATAAAACAGCTGTAGAGTCTGACTCTCGGTGGTCTTCTTGTGGGGGGGTCCTGCAACCTTGACATTACACTTAATACTACACAAATAAGCGTAAAGTCTTCCTATGATAAATTTCAAGTGTTGAGATCCACAGATGACACAAGATGAGTGGATTTTTAAAATTCAGTCCTCCCTGCCTTCAGTCATTGCTACGTCATTGCTTTTCACCATAGCCTAGAGCTCCAGAGTCAGAAATCCTCAAGATCCTATAAATCTTCACTGCCCCCGGCTATACTGCACCCCACTACCCTGAACAGAACAACACACAGGAGAAGAAATGCTAGCAGGAAATGCTTGCCGTTGTGTTTCTCCCCAGGAGGACTGTGGGAGTCTTGGCAGGATTAACCATCTCCATGACAGAACTGTCTCCTTCAGATGAGGCTGTCCCTGTCCATTTCCCCTCAGAGGTAGTGAGTACCGGCCACTCTGTACTAAATACAAGCACTGTCTTTAGAGCCTCCTTCTCCAGGTCATCCAACACAGGCTGATTGGCGGTTGAATAGTCCAAGAACACAAAGCCTTCCATTCCAGATGCTGTTCTTGCCAGCTCCCTGCCCAGCCCTTCCTGGAACCTTCAGGAAAGCATGGCAATTTGCAGCATGTGAATCTCTTTCCCTTTCAAGACCGTGGTTTCTTCTGGAAATCCCTCAGTCCAACGAGTAAGCCAGGTCTTGGTAGGACTCTCCACAGCTCTCCACTGTGACAGCTGAGGTGCTGGGCCTCGAAGGGCTTGGGTGCCAGCAAAGCACAGCAGAGCACCTTCTCTGTCCAGGGCTCTGCCACATGTCTGGCTCTGGCCTAGGCGGGGCAAGCCCTCAGATCTCAGAATGGATTTCTGTTGTTAGCCTGAATAGAGCTCATGGGAAGACTGGATGGAAAATCCCTGGGCTGTTCTGCTGCTCGGCTGTGGAGAGCCTGTGTCTTATCCCTCCTTGGATTCCCTTCTCTTGTTCTCAAGGTCTCAAGATTCTGCCTATCCCCCATGATGAGCTTTCTTTACCACACTTGTGAGGCTTGGAGGCTCTAGCAGTGATGTCATCTCCTTTGCCCTGTTGACACCAGCAGGGTTTCCAGGCCCTGTGGATGGCCTGGACTTGGCCCAGACTTACCAGGCCCTGGTACAAAGCCATGTAGCTATCACTACACAAGATAAACAGGTTCCTTCCCTGGGCTGTCTCAGCTTGCTAGGTCTTTGAGTTTAGGACCTAGAGGTGCATCATTGTTTGACTAAGTTACTAGAATAAAGCTACAGCACTAAGCATCTGGAGTGAGTCCCAAGCCAGTGTGCTTTGTTAAAGTCCTGGCTTTTCCCTGTTAGTTGTTGTTGTTGTTTTTGTTGTTGTTGTAGGTCATGGGGCTTGAACTCAGGGTCTGGGTGCTGTCTCTGAACTTTATTGTTCAAGGCTAGTGTTCTACCACAGTACCACTTCTGGTTTTCTGGGGGTTAATTGGAAGTAAGACTCTCACTGACTTTTCTGCCCAGGCTGGCTTTGAACTGCGATCCTCAGATCTCAGCCTTCTGACTTGGTAGGATTACAGGAGGGAGCCACCAGCATCCGGCCTTTTCCCCTTTGCTATAAGCCAATGGAAATCTTCGCTTCCGGGAGTAACTCTGGGGCAAGGTCCCCAGGCTGTCTTCCAGGGTGTCCATCTCCTTGGCCTTGCTGCAGTCCCCTCAGGGAATAATCTCTGAAGGGATCTGGAGCTCTCACGTTTTATCATTCTATTACTCTGGGTTTTGCTTCTGTCCTGTTGGGCTTGCTTACTTCCTGTGGAAGCGCTCAGAGGTTAGAACCCATC